AGACTCCTAATTGACTGAGCCAAGTGCTTTCGCTTCCTCAGAACAATCAAAACTAACCTAATTTATCTAAAGGTTGGACGACTTTCGATCTTACCCAACGAATTTTAAGTACAGAAAATAAGTGTTAAAAGCTAAAATAACCCCTAAGTAATTCTACCGACAACCGTGTGAAATACTAATTATAACTATAATCCTCGCATCCTAGCCCTTAAGATTTAGCCGAACATGGTAAGGTAAATAGGCATGGCAAATAAAGTGCGAGTAAATAAATAAATAAAGTGCGGTGCGAGAAATAAATAGTGCGGGAAGTAAAGGGTGCGGGAAATAAATAAAATGCAGTAAATAGACAGAAACCTGCTCTAAACGAGAGGCTTTAAAATCTTGTACAACGGGAAGTAAAAAAGACTGAAATAAAATGGCGGCAGGTTTAACATCTACCCAAGTGCTCCAAACTCGATTACAGACTCGATTACACGGTGTAATAACCCCTCGATGTAAGAAGTTTATTACTCTACAATAGATGAAATTTATGGCTTGAGTTCTGTTCTCAAAGCTTGGATGATTTGAAATGAATTAAAACTCTTCTATTTATAGAGGCAGGAAAGTACAGGTAAAGACAGAAATTCCCCCAACTCCTTTTGGGAGGGAAACATCTGTGTGAAGGTGGCGCCCGCCACATGTACTAGGGTGGAAATAAGTGGGAGACGTGGCAATTGTCAACAGTTGGCTTGTATCCAATGTGTGGCATCCCATATGGCGCTCGCCATGGTGGAAGCCATGTGTACATTTCCTCAGAAAGTAGGGTTTTTAACTCGTTTTTCTTCATTTCTTCTTGAGTAGCCTTGAAAATACAAAAATATGAAAAAGAAACAAAACAAAGGCATAATACAGGAAAAGGGAAATAAAATACTAAATAACTTGCGCGAAATCGAGTCAAATAAACAGTATATTTTAGGTCTATCAATCTTCCTTGACTATTCTCTCTCTAGTAATTCATATATAGTCTATAATAAAATAATACTTATTGTCGAAGAATTTGTTCACGTCACATTTGATGAATCTAACACCTTTAACGAGGATAAAGTTGTTCATATTGATGAAAAATATATATACAATGCACTAAAATACATCAACAATGATGAAGACAATAACCAATGAAAAGTGCAACAAGAAAATGAAGTAGCACAACAAGAATAAAAATCACAATGATATACCTCAAGAATGAAAGACTTGTAAAAACCTTCTTATCGATAACATCTTTAGTGACATATATAAGGGATTTTTTACTATACTCATTCTTAAATATGCTTGTTTAAATATGACTTTTGTTTCTCAAATCGAACCTTCTAAAGTAAATTAGTTTGAAAGAAATCTGCCAAAAGAGTTAAATTATTGTGAACCTTCTAAAGTAATGGTAGTGGACCGTTGAATCCTTATTTCCTAAGGAGACGTGGGTTATTCACTTCACCCATTTCTATATTATCTCTGACCAGGACATCTCATTTCTCAAATTTCCTTATACTAGGCGAAAGGGGAGTGTCGTGGGCAACGTCATCACCTTCGCGGGTGATAGGATTCCATCGCCCAATGCTGGCGATACGGTCTCCTTGCTCCTTGTGGGTCCTTCAAAAATATATCACTACATGATACAAGAAAGAGAAGGACATAAGTTCAAGAGTAAATTTGGTATTCAAGGCAACATATACTTCACCCATAGCTCCACAAAAATCTTATATGGTTTTACCAATACTAAATATGTTATCAACTAATGTCAAGTACCATAGATTATACTTACCCATTGAATAAGACAACACAAGTGAAGTCTTAATATGCTATCAACTAATGTCGAATACCAAAGCATCTTGTGATGATCCATAAATCGGTCATTAAACAATCAGCTTAAAACTTATACAAAAACAACAAAACTTGACAAACAAAAATCGTAAAACCTAATTCTCATAACCTTTACAAATTACCATATAACACACTTTCATCTTATTCTCACAAAAAATGTAAAAACATATGCAAGAAGAAGATGAACATATCTTAACCAAAAAAAGAGCAAGAAACCTCTGAACTGCTCGGAAGCCCATTGTTCGCCATTAGAAATTGTGTCGACTACTACATCGAACTTGCCCTGAAGCAGATTCAACCACCCTTTGCTCTAATGCAACCGTCACACCATTTTGCTCAGCCCCACCTCGCCATTTCCGTTGCCGCCCGCAACTTTCACTTTTTTCCATTTCTTTTTTTTCTCACTTTCAATGTTTTCTTGTAATTGTGTTGGTTTGCATGTGTTGTATTTTTCATTTAAGAAGAAAGACAAGTCTTGTGTTTTGGAGAGGGAAAAATGTTTGTTTTCTAATGTAAATAGTAGAAAGAACTAGTTTTTACGGTAGAGTAACCAGGTTATGATTATACATATCTTAAAGAACACTCCTTATGACTCTACAAAGGTACAAATCCAAACATTGCACATCTATATATCTTCGGGTGCAAATTCTTTGTCTTGAACAATGGAAATGATAACATTGGTAAGTTTGATGCAAAACCCGATGAAGGTATCTTCATCAACTATTCTGTCTCTAGTAATTCATATAGAGTCTTTAATAAAAGAACACTTATTGTCGAAGAATTTGTTCACGTCTCATTTGATGAATCTAACACATTCAACGAGGATAAAGTTGTTCATATTGATGAAGAATATATTTACAATGCACTAAAAGACATCAACAATGATGAAAACAATGACCAATAAAAGGTGCAACAAAAAGATGAAGTAACACAATAAGAATAAAAATTACATTGATATACATCAAGAATGGAGGACTCGTAAAGACCTTCTTATCGACAACATCTTTAGTGACATATCTAAGTGATTTTCTACTATACTCATTCTTAAATATGCTCGTTTAAATATGACTTTTGTTTCTCAAATCGAACCTTCTAAAGTAAATTAGTTTGAAAGAAATCTACCAAAAGAGTTAAATTATCATGAACCTTATAGAGTAATGGTAGTGGATCGTTGAATCCTTATTTCCTAAGGAGATGTGTGTTATTCCCTTCATCCATTTTCTATATTATCTATGACCAGAGCATCTCATTTCTCATATTTTCTTATAATAGGTGTGAGGGAGTGTCGTAGGCAACGTCATCGCCCTCGTGGGTGATAAGATTCCATCGCCAAACGTTGGCGATACGGTCTCCTTGCTCCTTGTGGGTCCTTCGAAAATATATCACCATATGATACAAGAAAGAGAAGAACATAAATTTAAGAGTAAATTTGGTGTTCAAGGCAACATATACTTCACCCATAGATCCACAAAAATCTTATATGGTTTTACTAAAACTAAATATGCTACGAACTAATGTCGAATACCATAGATTATACTCACCCATTGAATAAGACAACACAAGTGAAGTCTTAATATGCTATTAGTCGAATACCAATTCCATTTTGTGATGATCCATCAATCTCAAAACTTATACAAAAACAACAAAACTTGATAAACTAAATTCGTAAAACCTAATTTTATGAAAGTAATAGTTTTCAAATCATCCTAAATTAAATTTTGAAGGATATTAAGTTTCACCAAAGAAAATTTATTTAAATATCACAATTTTCTTAAATTTATTTAATGCATATTTAAAGTTTCTTTACTTGTTTTGTCAGTGATCTGACCTGATCAGAAGGGAATCAGTAACCTGCCACGCGTCGTTGATCTGAAGGCTGTTCACCGGAAGTAGGGAGGAGGAGGGGGTGTACCTGCAAGACACTTCGATGTCAAAGTAAGTAGTGGATCAGAGTGGAAGCAAATACAGAAGAGAGATAGAGAATTGAATACCCGACCCTCTAGTGAAAGTGGATATTTATAGAGAGACCCCAGCGCAGGGCCAACGGTCACTTGTGTTGGGCTGGATTGTCAGGCCCAACCTAGGTGACTGCTAGGGCTTACATGGCGTAGTGAAGACCAGCACATGGTCTTCGCCCTAGACCAACTGTCCCGTAATCTCCGAAAGGTGGACTGACCTGCTCTTTCGGAGGTGGGTAGTTGTTTGATGACGTGTCCCCGCGGAGGGGGCACGTGGAGAACGTGTGGAAGGCGTGTTGCTTCTGACCGACGGGGGGAGGGTGCCTGTCTGGCGTGTATAGAGTTGTGCCCGACACTGGGACTTTGTGCCATATTGGGCCTTCCCTGAATAGTCTTGGGCTGGGCCTGGCCGACAGATGGGCAGGTCTGGGCCCAACCCAGAACAGTTAGAATGGACAATACAAAATTTAAATATTATAAAAATATTACATTTTCTAAATTACTATGCCACTATGTTTGACACATTCTTTATAATTTAAGAGGTGATTTCAATGCATTTAGCGTCCCTTCAAAATTTTAAAGGGAGAGCCATTTTAAATGACACATTTTTTGACGAATTCTTTTTCTTCAGAATTGAGTAGTTTAGAAATTTTGTTGAAAAAATGGGAAGATTAGAAAATATTATAGGAAAATATGTTTATGTGTAAAAAGTTCAATATGTTTAATGGGAAGCCCCCCATAAAAAAACGCGCGATGAAACCCGCCAACCTCTAAAATCACATTTCTCATCTTCAAATCAAAGCACAAACGAAATCACTATTGGACCATCTAATCCACGTCATCGATCCATGCGAACTCTCGCATTCCATCTAAACCGTGGATAAAAACAAATCGACCGTCCAAAACGTCTTTCAAAACCCATCAAACGAATCAACTGTGCTTTTTCAAAACAAAGAAAACACATCACCCCATAAATTTCACTACCTATATAAACCATACGCATAACCGTAACCACCATAACTTCATCTCTCTCATTCAACAGCTCAATCTTCTTCTCACAGGTAAATCAATTTCTCCAATTCTCCAATATCAATTAATTTTGATTTTTTTAAATGAATTTTTTGATTAATTTCCGAATCTATTTTTTTAGGTTGTTTTTCTGTTGTTGATTAGTTGTTAAGAATCAAGATGTCTGGACGTGGAAAGGGAGGAAAAGGATTGGGAAAGGGAGGAGCAAAACGACACCGTAAGGTGCTCCGTGATAACATCCAAGGAATTACGAAACCTGCCATTAGACGTTTGGCTCGCAGAGGTGGAGTGAAACGTATCAGTGGTTTAATCTATGAAGAAACGAGAGGAGTTTTGAAGATCTTTTTGGAGAATGTGATTCGTGATGCTGTTACTTACACTGAGCACGCTAGGAGGAAGACTGTTACTGCTATGGATGTTGTTTATGCTTTGAAGAGGCAGGGAAGGACTCTTTATGGATTTGGGGGTTAGGGTTTTTGGTTTTGTTCTTGGTGTGTTGTTGTTGGTGGTGGTTTGGGGTGGGAAAGGGATATGGAAAAGTCTTGCTGTCAAGAAATTTTGGCATGGGATTTGGGTTGGGTTGTAGGTGGTGTTTTTTAGGGTAAGATTTGAATTATTGTTCTCTTTTGTGTATTATGTGTAGGTAGTTTACTTTTCAGCGTGACTCTGATGTAACTACTTGTTTCAATGAAGAAGAGATTATGATTCAACTTTTGTTTCTCCCAATTATTTAGCTAGTAATTTGTTATACATTGATTCGTGACTTTCAATAGATTTGAAAAGTTTTGCATCTTAATTGTTGTTTATACTCTTTTAATGACATGTTTATGTTTATGCTCTACAAAGATTTAGTGGCATGGGGCAACCCAAGTTTTTGTTCAAGGATTTAGTTTTGTATGATTCTGTAAGAACTTTGCTTGAGAGTGGCTATTGCGAATTGTTTTGGGAATCTCCATTACCATTTTGAAATTACTTTTGTTAATGAAGGGTGTTTCAATGATGCTTTTGTTGATTATGAGATGGATATTCCTCGATTAACAGGATATATATATTTGAATTGGCACTGAATAAGGGTTTGCGAGTTATTTATCAAGATGCTTTTGTTGTAATACTGTGACCTTGCAAATGATTGGAAGTATTTTTTATTGTATTCCATGTAATGATTTGGTTTCTTCAGCTAGCCAAGGTGTTGAATATATGCAGAGGAGAGTGGTACACTCAGATGCATCTGCATTTGAGAACTACATGATTAAAATCATGTGTTTTGCAGCCATTCACCTTGTCATTTTGGCTGCTTAGCTGCTAAGATACCATGCATGCAACATAAGGATGTTTCCAAGGTAAATATAAGCTTCGCAATGATGCTCTGTCTGCTTGGAGTTGCTAAAATGGTAGGATTTTGAGCTTCTATTTTCTGCTCAATCACCGTGTATTCTTTCAGGTTTTTGTTTTGACATGCTTCAAATATTATATTCCTTTGAGTGCTCTGTATTCATAAATATTCTTACTCTTTCTTTTTGGACAATTTTTTACTTACATTTGGTTTCAACTTACTGGTAGGGAATGGTTAATCATTGATCAACAGACTATTGTTGTGGTGTTACTGATTGTGGGATGGTTAATCATCTATCTATAGGTTGTTGTTATACTTTCAGTTTTGCAAAATGATTTGAAGTTTTTCGTGACTTTAAATAGCTATGGAGCAGAACATGCAGATATTTTTGTGGTGCACACTGCAAACTCTGTTATTGTCGATTGCATGATTCAAGTCCTGTGTTATGTGGCCATTCCTTTTGTCATTATGGGATGCTAAGATACCATGCAGTATTTGGGATGTTTCCAAATGAAACATAAGGTGATCAACGAGTCTCATTATCTGCTAGGATTAGCTAAAGGGTAGGATTTTGAGCTTTGGATGTAGAATGCCTCTGTTTTCTGCTCACTTACCCTCTACACTTTCTGGTTTTGTTTTGATATGCTACTTATAATCTCTTAATAAAATTAATTGTTAAAATCTGAGCTACTTGCATTCCAGTAAAATACTCAAATCTTTTGAGCTGCTTATAATCTGTACATATGCTACTTGAAAATTGATCTGGAAAAATCAATAATTATGTCACTATTTTTTAAGTTATGGGATTTGTAAAAGCAGAGAAAAGTGTAAGATGGTTTTGTAAACTCGATAATAATGAAAATTGACTAATAATTGCATAATTTTTAATTATATAAATAATCTAGCTGTAGTTCATACAAAATTTTGCTTGAGATGAATGACTTCTTTTCCTTAAACTAATTATCATAACACGTTAGTGTATAATCTGTAAGATCGACAAGACTCCTCAATATTAAAAATTCATTTCTAAGGACACCTCGCACTTATTGAATAGACAATTATAGTATTCTTATTTCTCTGATCACTAAGATTTGAATTATATAAAAGCCTCACATTTGTGTTAAGCTCTTGAATTGGAATCCTTAACCCAAAATCCATGGATTCTGCTTGCATATCAGTTTGTGTCAATAGCAAAGATATCCCCATTAGGCCAACCTTCGCAAACCTCTACAAATGGCCAGAATCAGAAGTAGAATTTGTGAAGACTATGAACACAAACAGTTATCGCAACGGAGTTGAATTTGATAGTCTTTCTTGCAGGCAAATGTATTTGAGAAGCTACAAATTCTCAAAGAAGAAATTGAGTATCACTGGGAAGACCAGAAAATGTTTCAGCTGTGTAAAAGAGAGTGTGATTTGTGCAAGCAATAGACTGAACTATAATATTAAGGGTAACCGTAAGATTCTCGGAAGGGCTAAGTATGTCACGCATGCTGCTGTTTCAATCTTTTATAGGTTGCTTTCTCGGTCTGATAAGGTTCATGTTGCTCGTCATGGTTACTGATGTTGCAAGCTTGTTTGTTTTTAATAGCTCGTCAAGATCAAAACTGCAGCATGTGGTTTCTGTAAACTTCATAATCAATAAACTTCTCTGCTCAATTACTGGTTTTTACATGTACTGTATAATGTGTGAGACATGGATATTTTATGGTATTATATATTTTTTCCTTTTCAAGTTAATTAGCATTTATTTATGCATAAGGAACTCCTAGTGGTATTGTGTGTAGCTAGTGACTTTGGTGGATGAAAAGGGAATGCAGAAGATAGTGGAAGTGGTGATGGTGTCTGTAAATTGGCCATAACCATTTTCCTCACTACAATCTAGTCATGGACAACTAACTTCAAAAAGAGAAAACACTAGTACTATTTTCCACGATAGGGATGTGCACTAGATCTAAACCACTACCTAGCAAAATAGTCCAAAACAGAATATGTCAAACACAGCCAATACTCATCATAATTCACAAGCTTGCTCTCTGAAAATTAGAATCAACTATAGACCAAATCATACATGAAAATGCTAAAATTTGCAAACTCATTAACAGTAACAGCAAGTCAGTAAAAACATATAATAACAAAATGAAAGTACAACAGGCCTTAATCTTTCATATGGTACAAAAACATAAGACTGACTTCTTATAAGCAAGACAACATTGCCAATTTTAGATGCAGGTATTTCTCGGGTTGATAATAAAGTACATCTAAGTAGTTGCACAACTTGCACTCAACCATGGTGCAAACCTCTGGTTACCAATTAAGAAAGTGTGTTTGAGTAACTCCATCTTTCTTTACAAATCTATTAAGTGCCTTGATCACTATGAAGCACCGACTCTAACACGCTGGTAATAATTTGAGAAGGTTGAATAAATGAATGTAACACATGTCAGTGTTGTGTCAATGTTGTCGACACTGACACATGTTGGACACCAGACACACTTTCAATGTGAAGTGTCGATGCCACATAGGTGATAGAGAGCTATTGATTTGAAGACAAACAGTAAAAAGGATAAAAGAAGAATACTGTAATACATGATTTAGAAAAAGGGACCTCATCTACCCTCGGACTTCACCAGCTGTGAGAATACTCTACTCATGGAGACACCAGAAAGATCATCTACAGTTGAAGATTCAAACTGTACAGCAGAAGCAGAAGAAGAAACATTTGCGTCTTGGTGGAAGTTGTTGACCTGAGGAGAGAGTTCGCCGATCATGTTTGTACTGTTTTCTTCAGGATCACCTTGAACCTCAGCTTCTTGTAGTTGAAGAGCATACTCTAGATTCCACAAGACGTCTCCCATTGAAGGTCTGTCAACACCATAGTCAGCCAAACATTTTTCAGCAGTTTCTCCAAACTTCCTAAGAGATTCTGGTTTGATTTTTCCTGCAAGTGCTGTATCGATGATTTGTTGCAATTGTCCTTTTTTAAGAAACTTCATCGCCCATTCTGCCAAGTTTACCTTTTCCCTAGGAAGTGATGGATCTATAACAGGCCTTGCACATAGAACTTCGAACAAAACTACCCCAAAGGAATACACATCGGACTTCTCGGTCAGTTGCTGCCTCCTGAAATATTCTGGATCAAGGTATCCGAAACTCCCCTTGACGGCTGTGCTCACATGCGTTTGATCGAGTTCAGGACCGGTCTTTGACAATCCAAAATCAGCCACCTTAGCCATCAGGTTCTCGTCAAGTAAGATATTTGCTGATTTGACATCACGGTGAATGACTGCTTTAGCATAGCCGGTGTGAAGGTAATGCAGTCCTCTAGCAGATCCAATGCAAATCTCAAGTCTCTGCTTCCAACTTAAGCTCGGGAGCCCCGAACCATATAAATGACTCTTGAGAGTTCCGTTTTCCATGTATTCATATATCAGGATCATTTCATTATTTTCATCACAATAACCAATCAAAGACACCAAATGACGATGACGAAATTGAGACAACATTTCAATTTCCGTTCTAAATTCAGCAATCCCCTGCTGCGACAGTGGATTTCCCCTCTTCACCGCTACTTTCCTGCCATCCCTTAACTCTCCCTTGTAGACTTTCCCAAAACCACCTACCCCAATAACCCAACTCTCATCAAAATTGTTTGTACCCTCCTTAACTTCCACAAAAGGAACACGGTACTCAAAGTTTGAAGCAGCGCTTATTGTTGTGCCGTTGGAATATTTACTTCCCATCGTATGTGTATCGTTGACGGACAAAGGAATCCATGTCTTTGACTGCCTTTGTCGTGCCAACCTCCTTCTTTTCCTACACAGTATGCAGCAAACTCCGGCCAAGACCACAGCACTCACTACCCCAACACTCACACCAGCTATCAGGCCAACATGACTAGAACTCGAACCAGAGGTATCACCTCCAGCACCAGCCGCTGCATTTGCACTGAGACTGCCAATAGAATTGTTCATTTTCATGATCTCCAGCCCATTCAAAATAGCATTGGGGTTGTCCGAAGTGGAAGCGCCAATACTTACATATAGTTTATTGCTGTCAGCTACCGGAGCAATTAAATCCATAAAATATGGAACACCCAAAACATTATTACCTTTAGAACTAAGATCAAGTCCCTTAGCAGCTGCCATCGAGTCAATATAAACATTGAAATAAAGTAAGTTGAGAGCTTTACTGACTATATCACAAAAGTGAGTTCGAACAAGGTATTGAAATCCCGGCTCCACGTCAAATCGCCATGTCACATTGAAATTAAGATTAGTATCACCGGTGGACGTGTTCGTGTTCATCTCCGCGGCAGTACCATAAACACTAGGCGGAGCAGTGATTTGTGTTGCTCCTCCATCAGCATACTTAACACCGGGAATATTCGAAACATCATTGGCAAGGTCCGATGTTAGAAGAAACTTTTGATCTGAAACCCAAGTTCTCTGAAGAGGGTCCTCTCCAGATGTAACAACTGGACCACCCATGTTAACCCTCCAAACAGTCTCCAAAGCCTGAGTCCCCAAACCCGAATACGACGTCAACGGATTCAAGTTAAAAGCATCATCAGCAATGAGATCATCAGGGACAGAAACAACCTCAATTGCATTCACAAATGCAACCGAACTATCCAAAGGACGAAAAGTAATCTCAAGGGTATCTGTGGTAACATTGATAGAATATTCCTTCATAAAAGGATTCTTCTGCATAGTTAAACCACTAATAAGAACAATGGTCTGTGTCGATACAACGAATTTCGCAGCATTCAAATTGTATCTATCATAAATAAATGGAAAAAAATAAAACCGGATCCAGTGTCTCCCCTTTTGGTTAATAGGAAAAGTGTACTTTGAAGATCCAGTGAAAACTCTTGCAGTTTTATAAAGTGGTGATTCATCATCTTTAGAAGATACTGAATTTGCAGAAGTACTAGCAAGAATCTCTTGCTGAGTTGTAAGTAACTTCTTAGATGAAGTATCTGAAGTGAAATTGCGGTTACCAACTGAAGTAGTTGAAGTTGATCCACAATCTATAAGGTAATTATCAGCTGGAGCAAAAGTTGCACAAAAACATACCAAAGGCAAGAGATTCAAAGCACAGATAATCAAACCAAGTTTTCTCCAATCCATCATAATGGGTTTTCTGTTTTGCTTCTAAAAAAACTATCTTTTTGAAACAATTTGAATCCTAGGAAGATCTGTGGTAGAACCAAAAAAAGAAACAAATTAGGGTTTGTTTAAAACTTATAAAGCAAAAAAGCAGAAAAAGTTAAAGACAGAAAAAATGGCACCTTTTAGCACTGTTGTAGTTCAAGTAGAATGGAGTTAGAGAGAGAGAGGAGAAGACAAATTTGAAAGGATCTGGTTTTTTGTTATTTTGGGAGAGAGTTTTGAATGGAAGAAGAAGGAGAAAAGACAAGTTGAGGAAGAATATAGCTAAGCATAAGCTGGAATAATGTTTATGACAACCTAAAGTTTTGACATATTCATAGATTCTTAATATTTTGTCTAGTTTAATATAGAGAGAGAAAGTGAGAGAGTGGAAACGGTGGAAGTTGGTCAAAAAAATGTGAAGGGTTGGTGCTGGATTTTGAGTGAAACTTGAAAACGTGTGTGGTGTAAATAGAGATTAAGAAAATGAAATAGGCAGAGGAAAGTGAAGTTAGTGTGTAAAAGTAGTACAAATGGAGAATGAATATAATAAAAAAAAAAGGAAGAGAAAAGTGAGAGAAATAGAATAGTTAGGTTTGTTTTTAACTTATTTATATAACACATTTAATATAATTTTTAGTTTGGAATTCAAATAGCAATAGTTTGGGAGTTTAAAGATAGCACATTCATAGTGTAAAATAATTTTTTATTATCATCTAATAAATTTTATCATCTACAATTAATTATAAAATATCAATGTGACTTGAGAGGTATATAATAGTAATTGATTAGCAATGTAAAATTATTTTATATTATCAAAGTATATTTTTTTCATAATTTAAAAATTCTTATTTTTTAAGAGAGTAGCCAACATGAATATAAATATAAGTTACCTCAATACCTATCAAAATGGGTTAGACGACATTGGCCAGCCAACATAAATCTAAATATAAGTTTTTTGGACCGGCTAAACTAGAATAGTTCATATGAGCCAACTCAAAAAATTCAATAAAATACATAATTTGAGTTTCAAAATTAGAGCTCGATTTTATAAGAGCTTTTTAAAGTGACTTTAAAATATCATCTACGTATTAGGGATAATTCGTATGAAACAGAAGTAGTTCGTTTGACCCATATAATTAAAAATTCTTAAATTGTATTGATATTTATGTTGTTTCATTCATAAATCACGCATTGAGTTGTCACACTTCAATAAATTTTATTTCTTATGTTAAAGTCAATTTATTTATTTTTTAATATTATATATTAATATAATCAAATTAATATTTAATTATTTAACATTTTATTTTAAAACTTTTTCGTATTCTATTAATTTGAGTTAAGTGAGGGTATTTGTGTATTCTTTTATTTTATTTTTTAAATTAGACGTCTATTGTAATTAATAATGTGTTAGATTATTTATAAAAAATAAATAGTATTGTACTTGCTAAAAGTACGAAGCGAGAGAATGAGAATCTGCTCACATGGTGATTGTGAGAGACCCTATGTTTTTCTTCTTCATGAAATTGTATGTCATTTCCCTGCCTTAGATATCATGTCATTTATAGCAATCCCATAGGTTTATCTAGAACCAGATTCCATAGTTCCATCATAAAAAATGTGGGACAAAGAAGACTCTTTCTCCCAAATCATGGAGATACATTTTTCTCCATCACTAGCATCCTTCCACTGTTATTTCACGTTTGATAAGTGATATAATCATGAGTGGTGGATTAAATCCTCGTTGGACAACTCGTCATACCCTTTGGGCGACCACGTCCCTTTAGGTGTGTAGGCCTATTTCGAGTTACTATCCCTATTCAGGCATCTAAGCCATTTCCTATCCCTAGCTTGGTTCTGCCGTAAGCCATTTTGTCATGGACCATCCCTTATTCGGGCCCAAATAAATTATCATAGTCCACCGTTCCCCAATCACGAGGCCTAGGAAAGGACAAAGTGATTTAATTTCGGCGTATCACCATCCTTAAAATTTGCGAATTCCTTAAGCGAACCATTGAGCAAGTCCATCAATCAATGCATGAGGTGGGACCCTCAAGCATAGCATGGGGAGATCCCCTTAAGCGAAACATGATGTGAGTCCATAAAGAGAAGTATGAGGCGAATGCCTCAAGCGAAATAGTGTGTGAGTCCCTCAAGCCAAAAGCGGGGAAAGTCCCTCGAGCATCACCAAGGGCAACATATGCAGCATTAAACTCTTATAATGATGGAGTTGTCTTTGAAATCTAAGTTTGCAAAAGACCCTTGGTTTGCTAACACGTGTTAGGATATGAGACGTGTGTCAGTTCATGCTACAATCGCAAGTGTGTACCTTAAAAAAGGAAATCATAGCCTATGTGACCTAAGTTTTCCGCCCTTGTGAAAGGAGATTCACATCCCATTATCATTCAAGTTACTCTAAAGTTTTTGCTCTAGCAAGTTAAGTTGCAGTCAAAATGTTTCTAGTCTTAGTTTCACCTGCTTCACAAACAAGTATAACCCTTCCCTCTCTTTCTTCAACCTGATTTTTTCCTTCTAAAAATGGAGACTATTAGGTTGTTAGACGAAAGAGGTAATGCGATTCAACCTTCCAACAGTAGAGAGATTATGAAATTGTATGAATATTCATGAACAACACCATACTAATACAACTGATTATAGGTTCATTGAAGTAGTAATGTTTGGGAGTTATGAGAGCACATTTGATTATAATAGTGATAATGACTCTCTTTCTTCATGTTCTTTCTTAGGACATTTGAATTTGTTAATAGAGATTGTTTCATCCAAGTGCTAAGGAGTGGACGACTATGAGATGCGCTACACTTACAAGTAAAGAGTGACCTCCTTCAAGAAACATTTGAACCTATCTGGTATAAGTGATAAGAGGGTGGTGATCTTGGAACCTTGCTCTGAAGTGGAGTAGGTTAACATGGTCGCCCAGAGGACTCTCCAACACATTCTTTTACAAGTACCTATCATTCAATCACGACCTTTGGGTGCTCATACCTTTCACCCATTAATGTCGCTCCCGCATAAATAACACCCAATGATTTATATGGTCACACCATTAAAAAAACTGGAATGATAAGTTTGTGAAAGTAAGGGGCGAGATGGGGCGTCTATGGTCACTACTAGAGAAGATGATGCCTATTGTTTTCCTCTATATTGGACAAAGAATCCCTTGACCATAAATGGCTTTGATTTTAAGTTCTTAACCAAAAAGGAGAATTTACTGATGTACTTTGTGAAGTCCAATACGTTGTTAAGAAAATTTGATGAAGTCCACATTAAACATGTCCTTCGTGTCGAGAATCAAGAAGTTAATGATTTGACACAAATTTCTTCAAGATACAGAGTTTTCAAGGAAAAATTAGTAGAGTTAATAGAAGTAAAGGAAAAGTTAATTTGGATAAATCCTTTCCCCTTAGATTTGTCAAATTCAAATTTGGTGGGGGTAGAAAGGTTGACAAAATTAAAAGACTCTTAAGCAATTTTTGAAATTTTTGTGATTGACAAAAATCAATTTTTAAATTTTTATAGAATCTGACAGGAACGACAGGTCAAAAAATCAAATACAAGGCATAATGTGATTATTGAGAACAAATTGATTAAAAAGACTCCTGAAGTAATATTGCATAAATGCCTCAGTAGAGTGAAACTTATTTGGCAACTTTTGACGCTCCTAGTGGATCATGTGGCGCTTACCAAGAAGGTCACAAGATGAAATGACTTTTGTTTCAACAAGGGTTGTATTGGCCAACTATGTCGAAAAACTATATTGAATTCACCAAAGGTTTCTAGAATGTTAAAAACATGCAGGTATTCAACATGGTCTTGCAAGTGAATTGCATTTTACTGCCAAGCCTTGGCTATTTAGAGGTTGAGCTTTAGATTTAATTGGTGAAATTAGACCTACATCATCCAAAATTCATAGATACATTTCGGTTGGTATTGATTATTTTACCAAATGGGTAGAGGTTACTCCTTTGAGCAAGGTTGATCAGGAAACAGTAATCAAATTCATTCAAAGTCACATTATTTATAGATTTGGAGTTCCTAAAACCTTAATCACTTATCTAGGTACAATTTTTACTAGTCAAAAGATGGTTTAATTTGTTGTAGATTCAAGAATCAAACTTTTAACATCTACCCCTTATTATGCTTAGGAAAATGGCCAACTCGAAGCAACCAATAATTATAATATTCCTAATTAAGAGACACGTGCTTCAGAAGCCAAGAAATTGGCATAAAAATTTAGACCAAGCATTATGGGCTCGTCAAAATTCCTCTAAAAGGCAACTAACTCCACCCCATTTTGACTAACATTCGGTCATGATGAAGTCTTGCCTATCGAAATTTATTTATAATCAACTAGGATTCAAAGACAATTTGAAATTCCTTTTGACCACTATTAGAATATGATGTTGTACGAATTAGTTTATTTAGACGAGGACAAATTAGCTACTTTGAATGTTCTCATAAGACAGAAAAAAATAAATAGCTAAGGCATACAATAAGAAAGTCAAGTCAAAAATCTTTACTGTTGGTGATTACATTTGGAAAGTTATTTTACATACGAATCAAAAAGATAGAATTTTAGGTAAATGACCACCAAATTGGGAAAACCTATTTCTAATTAGCTAGGTGTTTTCAAATAATGCCTATGAAATCAAAGAATTGACTCCTGAAGGTCACATTATGAAGATAAATAGTAAGTACTTATAAAGGTACAAACCTATACTATAATAAGTTCGAATATTAAAAGAGTAATATATAAAGAAAGAGAATGCTAAAGTGGTGTTAAAATTAAAGGATGAAAAAATGCAAAATTTTCATTTAAATTAGTTAAATAGAAAGTTTAAAATGGAAAATCAACTTTAATCATTTCAAGACGTTTCTTTGCACGCCTGATTTTGGCGTCTTTCATTAAATCTTCAGACTTCAGGTTTTAAACTTCCTCACCTAACACATAAGCACCATTAGCA